CCCACCAAGCTGTACTGCAACGGGGACGGGGAGTGGCTGGTGCCCATCGGCCGCTGCATGTGCCGGGCGGGCTACGAGTCGGTGGAGAACGGGACCGTCTGCAGAGGTAACCGCTCGCCTTCCCTCTTGCTCTGCACACCCACCTCCCTGCTGGTGGGTGATGGCAGTTGGATGTGCAGCTGGGAACTGCACAGGTGACCTCCTTGCGCGGGGAGAGGAGCGTAAAGGGATGTGGGAGAGGAGCAGGTGTGTGGACACACTGTCTTCTTCTCCAGCTCCTCAGTTCTTGCCCTGGGCTCTTCCATGCGCTGCTCAGGTTCTGTGTTGCTTCTCAGTGCTCAGAGCCACAGGGTCCAGGGGTGCTGGCCTGTTGGTGGTGCCCTCTGTGCTCTCCAGGTCTTGGTGTAGCTGTGGTGGGAGCCACAGATCTGCAGTCACCTCCCAGGAGACTGGGACTGTTGTCACTTCTGTTTGCATCCTGTGCCTTGGCAGGGGCTGAAGTGCTTCTGGCGTGAGGGGAGCGTGGGCACCCAAAGGTGATGATGCAGTGGGAGGAAAAGGTTGTCTGCAGCATTTTCCTGGTGAGGTGTAATTAGGTGGGACTTGGTCATGGGCTGTTCAGGGCCAGGCACAACTCTCCTGCCTGGGCACATCTGGGCCTGGTCCCTGAGCTCCCTCAGCAGCCAGAGGTCTCCTGCTCCTGTATATGTTCTCCTGCTCCTGTAGGTGTTCTCGTGCTCCTGTAGCTGTTCTCCTGCTCCTGTAGATGTTCAAAGTAGACTCCAAGAGCACCTGCTCAGCTCAGCTGAGCACCTTGGACCCAGCATGGTCCTACAGGCAGAGCATGCCCCAGGCTAGTGAAGGGCCACCCCTGCAAGCACTGTGCCCAAAGCCATCTCTGTGCTCCTCCCCAGTCACACAGATGTGCAGGGGAAGGAAAGGCTACATGGGCTTGGAGAGGGACAGGAAGGGGCTGCTGGGCTTATCAGGAGAGATGAGGACCCAAGAGTTGGATGTTTAATGGGCACCTGTGGTTGTACCATGCACAGAGGAAATCACAGCATTTGGCAAACGGGCTCTTCTCCCCCCTGTCCTGAACATCCAAACCCCATCACAGCGTCAATAGTGTCTGCAGAGCTGAGGTTTCTCTTGACACCTATTAAAGGTTGGAACAGATGATCCCAGAGGTCCCTTCCAACCTGGCTTTCTGTGATTCTGTAATGATATAGATGTGTTGGTGGGCACTGCAGAGCACAAGGAAGGAGCTGCTTCCCTTCTCTTCTTGCTACTAGAAGGGGTGGGTGGGTAGCATCAAGCAAGGATGGGGAAGGTGCTGATAAGGGGGGAGATGGACACACTGTAGAAGGGGTTGCACAGTCTTTGGCCATGTTTGGTTGGGACTGCAGATTGGATGGCCCTCTGGGAGAGGACACTATGTCTTCTTCTGCTGGCTGTGCTGCTCATGCATCAAGTGTCCTGATGAGTTGGGGATGTCATTTTATGTGCTTTTAGCTACTCCTCAATGAGCCACTGAACACCCCTTCCCACCAAGCTCAGGGTGATCAAGTGTCCTCCAGCTGTAGCAGGGGTGGTGCTGGGGAGGGAGCAGCAGGGAACCAGGTAATCCCAGACTGGTTTGGGTTGGAAGGAGCCTTAAAGATCATCCAGTCCCAACCCCCTGCATGGGCAGGGACACCTCCCACCAGCCCAGGCTGCTCCAAGCCCCATCCAACCTGCCCTTCAACACTGCCAGGGATGGGGCAGCCACAGCTTCCCTGGGCAACCTGGGCCAGGCTCTCACCACCCTCACACCAAAGAATTTCCCTCCTCATATGCAAACTAAATCCCTCCTCTTCCAGTTTTAATCCATCCCCCCTTGTCGTTTCCCTCCCTGCCCTTGTCCCAAGTCCCTCCCCAGCTTTCCTGGAGCCCCTTCAGGCCCTGGAAGCTGCTCTAAGGTCTCCCTGGAGCCTTCTCTTCTCCAGGCTGAACACCCCAGCTCACCCAGCCTGGCTCCAGAGCAGAGCAGCCCCAGCCCCCAGGAGCAAGGCATTACTCTGCACTGAAGCACGGGAAGGGAGCCTGGCTCATCTCAGCCTCCAAGGCAAGGCTGGTGTTTTATGGTGCCCAAGTGAAGCATTTGCAGCAACACCAGAAAGCCCAAATGATTGATGTCAGCTTTTCCACCTCAGCCTGGTTTTTTTCTTTGCCTTTTTCTTTTTTTTTTTTTTTTTTTTTTCTTTTTCTGGAGCAGACCCAGCCCTGCATGCTGCTCTGCTCTGAAGCTGCTACCATTGCTCAGGGCTCCCTGTCCCTCTGCCAGCCCCGCCGAGGAACCGTCCCTTCCCCTGCCCCGCTGCTCCCTCCCGTCCCCACGCAGAGCCCTGTCCTGGCACATGGGGCCAGCAGGGTGGGAGAGGAGGCAGAGCAGGGGGAGAAGGTGGAAGGAACAAACAGGAGGCAGAAGCCAGGTCTCCTCTTTGTCTGCACAGCAGCAGGATTTGGGGAGGTCCAGAGCCTCGGCAGATGTTTCTGCAGCCGGTGCTGGCGTGTGCCTGGCCCCGCGCTCCCCGGCCTCATTAATCACCTGGTGGCCAGCAGCCTGCTGGCTCTGTGGGCAGCTGGCTCCAGGGCTGCCTTCCCCTTCCTTCTCCTTCCCCTTTCCCTTCCTTCCCCTTTCCCTTCATTTCCTCTTCCCCTTTCCTCCCCTTCCTCTTCGTTTCCTCTTCCCCTTTCCTCTCATTTCCTCTTCCCCTTCCTTCCCTTCTCTTCCCCTTCCTTCCCCTTCCCTTTCCTTCCCCTTCCTTTTCTTTTCCCTTCCTTTCCCTTCCCCTTCCTTTCCCCTTCCTTTCCTTTCCCTCCCCCTTCCTTCCCCTTTCCCTTCCTTTCCTTTCCCTTTCCCTTCCTTCCTCTTTCCTTTCCCTTTCCCCTTTGCCTTCCTTCCCCTTTCCCTTCCCTTCCTTTCCCTTCCCCTTCCTTCCCCTTTCCCTTTCCCTTCCCTTTCCCCTTCCCACATGGGGCTGCACAGTGGGGGCTGGATGGGACCACAGGGCTGTGCCAGACTGGGAAAGATCCTCCCTTTCCCCACAGCAGCCCCAGAAGCAGAGTGTGTACTGGGAGGGGAGCCAACCACTGGGTTGGCAGGACACCCATAGCAAACCCATCCTCTCCCAGCACCCCAGTGAGCCCCACAGAGGACTGGGGAAGGGACAGCTCAGCTGGGCAGAGAGAGGGCTCTCCTCTTCCAGCTCAACTCAGGAAGGACCTGTGGGATGCAGCCCTGCATCCCTGCCCACCTCCCATCCTGTCCTTGTCCCTGGTCCCCTCAGAGGCAGCACACGAGCTGCCTGGTCTGGGGGACTCCCTTGTCCATGTGGCCAGCAGGTTTTCTCATGTTTCTAGGAGTGGGAGGGAATCTGGGCCCCTCTCCAGAAACAAAACAAAAGCAAACCCGAGCTGGCTTTCAGGGGGAAGTGCTCTCACCCAGCTCAGTCACCCAAAGGGGATGTGGGGGCTCCCTTGGTCCTCCAAGGGCTCCCGATGGAAAAGGGCACCCCAAGTGCTGGAGGGTCCCTGGGTG